CTGGCAGCTGTGACATAGGCTGGCTCGGTCCGCCTGCAGATGGACATGGCATCTGGCCCACCTCCTGATTTGTACACCGCCTTCACCACGTGACTGAGCCAAGACTGGTGCATACTGTCAATCATCCTGTCAGCCTCATCAATAATCTGGGATAGAGGAGTGAATGAAAGCATACATTTTAATGGTAGATGGCACACAATGGATTCCAATGTCAGTTATATCTGCTGTGCTTTATATAAACAAGTTGTCTAGCTTTTAAGAACTTACAAGAAATCTGAGGTGTTCCAGACAAAAACCTGAATTCTTGTTGATGTGATCAACCAGTCGACCTGGAGTGGCCACAACAATGTCTGCTAAACTGCGTCTCAATCCCCCTCTGGAAGAACAATCAGAACAAAAAGAAAAGAAAGGAAAAAATATACAAATTAAAGAATAATGAAATGAAAAACTGAATTGTATATTTTAGCCCCTATGTATAGAATTTTCTATCTGCAAATTTTAGACCAACAGCAGCAAGTAAAACAAGCAACATTGTATTATTCCTCCTACAAATGAATTACTGAATTCCAGGCAATAAAACTCCTAAACTCAGTGGGAATGACCATCACAGAAGACCAAAAAAAGTTCCAAAAACAATTACAGTCTCTCTTTAAGAGGTATGGTCTACCTGTAAAATGTTGGTGATATATTTGAGCCCAGCGTGGCTCCACTCACAGTGAGGATTTTACAATGAAACAACTACTAAGGCTTTTAACAGCAGACATGGATTATCGGGACATGCTTACATAGAACAGGACTTGTCCATATGTGTGGGTATAGTTTAGGGCTTCCTGTAACAATTATTTTTAATCAATTAATCTAACAATTACTTTTTTGATTAATCTAATGACTAGATGCCGAGTGTGTGGCTCAGGAGATAGAGCGGGTTGCCCGTTAATCGGAAGGCCGGTTCAATCCCCGGCTCCTCCTGGCTGCATGTCGGAGTGTCCTTGGGCAAGATACTGAACCCTGAATGTGTGTGAATATTAGGCCTAATCCCAGTGTCCCCCCTAAACCCTAAGCCCTGAACCCTCACAGACTTTTAATTGATAATTGAGCAATTATTAACTAACTGATCACTAGTGATAATTGTATAATTATTCAAAACTACCTAGAGGTCCGGAGACTCTAGGTTTATAACAACTCCACAGAATCTCCAATTAATCCCAGTAATCGTAGTAGAAAATGTCCAGAAAGGTACAAGTACATCAAGATTGTACTAATAGTACTTGAATAGATCTACTTAGTTACATTTCAACACTGAAGCTAACAAAGACGTACATGCAGACCCTGAAAGGCCTTTAGAACATGAAATGTCAGTCAGTAGTGGAGCTTAAAGCAAAAGGCCTCACGTCTCCTGAACAGCTGCCGAAGCTCTGCCTGAACTCACCTGTGTTCAGAGAGTGAAGCCTGCTCTGCAGCAAAGGACTTCTGACCAGCCAGCATCACCACCTTCAGAGAGGTTCCCTCAGCATATGATGTGAACACTTTGCAAACCTGCAGGAGAACATATCATCCGAGTCAGCAAACATTACTGGATTATGTTATCCAGACTTTGTTTGGAAAGATTATGACCTGCTGGGCGAGCTCTTTGGTCGGCAGCACAGCCAGAGCCCGGACTTCACACACCACCCGCTCACTCAGCACCTGATGGCAGAGAACATGTTCATTTGATCTGGAGACTTCTCCACGTTCAGTCATTGGACATATATGCCTGTACATACTGAATGCATTTCTTGCTCAATGGTACTTAAATGAGAAGGTGGGCAGCTCACCTGTATGACAGGTATGACAAATGCAAGAGTCTTGCCACTGCCTGTTGGCGCAGACACACAAATGTCTCTGGGCTTGTAACCGCCTCGTCCAATCAGCAGCCCCTGCTGTGCGCTCTCCAAGATGGCTGGGATGACCTCCGCTTGCACTGTGAAAAGGTCACTATATTCTTCATCCACCTTTTATTTCTCAGTGTAAACTCAGTCAGCACACCAACAGTTCCCAAACTCTTTCAAATCACAACATCCCGTCATAGTGAATTTTTCCACCCATGGATATCTCTTATAAGGACCTATTTCAACAAAGTAATAAAGCAACTAAGACTGATGTAACTTTTTATTAAGTGAAGTAAAACAAGCCTTATCTCAGTCACTTAGAAACCTGCTGCTGAACACACCTGGAACATTACCTGGGAAAAGGTGCTGAATTCCATTATTCTGGAGTTTTTTCACGAGCTGAGCAGAAAGTCCTGGCAGGTCAGAGATGGGGATCAGGTTGCTTTTAATGTCTCTATGAATCAGATCAGGCTGAGCGAGCCACTGAGGCAGGACTCTGTGGACCTGTGAACAGAGGAATAAGCACACTGTGGATACCTATTGTCCCCAGAGGATAAATGCTAATGATATTGGTGACCCCGACCCTTCCTTTAGCGCCATTAAAAAAATCACTGTACCTTTTGGACAGGTTTGTTCTCAAATCCTCCCAGAACTGTGAATCCAGCTGGAGCAGGAGTCTTCCCTGTGGAGACATTTTCTGTCTCTGTTTCCCCTTCTTCTCCTCCTGTCTCCTCCTCTGAAAGACCTTTACATTTAGACAGATCCTTCTTCTTCTTCTCAGTTGCACCTTTCTTGTTTTTCTTTTTCTCTCGGACAGGCTCGTCATTGTTATCAGATTCAGAGACCAACACAGTCACCGCTTCTGATTTCCTCTTTTTAGGGTGCTGAAGTTCTTGCCTGCTGTCTTCCTCGGCTTTTCTTTTCCTTCTGGTGTCCTGCTGTTCTGTCTGCTCTTTGGGAGGGTGTTGTCTCTGTTCTGTCAAACTCTGTTTCTGCTTCTCTTTCACCTTCTGCTGCAGTTTAGCCAGTAGCGCCTGAGAGCGAGACTCCTTGGAAACACTTCCGTCATCTTCCTCTCCAAGATACCTGTGAGCAACATTGACAGAGTGTAATACATGCAACAGCACAGCAGCTCCTGTTCACTTTAATAGCGTGTGACCTCAGAGTTATATGCTTCTATCTACATTTTTGTTAAAAATATGTGATTCTCAAAACACTATTTTCTGACAACATATTCATATTTTGTTTAGGTTTATCTTTAGATTTTTTAATTAATACCCATATAAGTATTCATTTTCTGATTTGGTTCTATAGAGTTCCAGTTGTGAAGCTAATCCGTGCTGACAATACTTTACTCTCTGCTTTGTGAAGTTTTGAAACCTCTCAATATTGATGATTTTACTTTTGAGGCTTTGAGAACGACTGATATAAATGCAATCTAAATAGAAAGTCATTTTGAATCACGTCTGACTCTGATTAAAAGGCCTGCTGATGTTAATTATACACTAACACTACTAACGTTTATTAGCCAGAATTGAAGTACCACAATTTTACAATTTTATTTATCATTTTACAACAAATAAAAATTACAAGTGATAAAAATAAAACTATTTTACATGGTGCAGTGCTGAGGATGAATTTGAGATTAAAAGTCTGACAGCTTGGGGGGAAAAGCTGCTCTGCAGTCTGGTGGTGCGGCAGCAGAAACTTCTATATCTCTTCCCAGAAGGCAGCAGGGTGAACAGGCTGTGGCTGGGTGGGTACTGTCCTTTAGTATCCCTTTTTCATGGGGAGATTGTGTTGAACGCTGAGCTGAATTCCACAAACACCATTCTGATGTCGGTGTTGTTCTCAACGTGTGTGAGGGTTGAGTAGAGTCTTGAAAGCAAACTGGTGAGGGTCCAGGCTGGCTGGGATGTTCTTGTTTTCAGACTAGACACTGCAGGCTTTTTAGGTTCAGGAACTGTTACGCGATAATAACACGTTAACTTGCTCAGCCCTAGTATATACAGTATATATATAAATCATTAACTCTACTTTACTGTGATGATAGCAATTAAGGCTAAACTTTCAAAATGTAGGAATCTGAGATACATTCAGGTGGTTGAAGAACATTTTAGTGATCTGATGCAAACTCTTCCATGCCTCGAACTGGGTTTGTGTCTGTTTATAACAAGTGTACTGCAGCTGACGCAGTGATGAAAAGTGACTACAATAAGACCTCAGAAACTGACAGTGATGGCCTGAGCTTGTTCAGCCGAAGTACAGAAAAACATGGGAATCGACAAGAGACCATAAAATATTGAAAAGCTGAAGACAGAGGGAGGAAAGCAGACAGAGGAACAGGACAAACTGCAAAATATGTAGAAAACGGGGGTGTACCTTAGCAAATAAAACCTTATACTTCCAATAAGGAAATGAATAAACAATATGCACAACAGGCAGGTTTTTGATATAACAAGTACATTTAGAACAGTCACTGATATTTTGACAAATTAAAGACCTTACTGCATCTTAGTTTTGCTATCAAGGAGAGAAGCCAGATAAAACCGTATAACTCCAAGGTAATGTAGTAATGTGACATAATTAAAAGAAGAGACCAACGATGTAACATCAAGATAAAACAGAAAATAAACCCACCTGTTCACAAGAAACAGAGACATTCCAACAGCAGGAGAAGCGCCCAACGACAGTTTTTGAGAACTGTTCAGATCTCCCGCACTAGGAAAATATTAACGTTAAATATAAAGTAACCCGGTCCAGATTTGCTAACAATTCTGTTTATTTAACATACTGTATACACTCTGCTTATTCTGAACTACAAAAATCACCAACTTCTCATGTGTTTCCCGTGCTGGGCGCGGTTTCATGACGCATTGAAGCAGTCGCATTTTTTTTTTGCGTCACCAGTCGGGCGCGGCCACATTAATTAGATTTTTCGGTGTTAAAATTCAAATAAAAAACGATGTAGCTTTTCAAGGCATTTTCCCATGGGCTATTAAAAATTTTGTTGTTACTGATTTTAAAAAGCACAATCGCAACAGCAGACTTTTCACCGCTGCCCCGCATGGATCAGTCCACCCTGTGACGTCCACCAATGAAAACAAAGTGTGGGCAGTTTAAACAGCGGAGGGCGCTGGCAGCAGTTGGTTAACGTTAGGCGTATTTAGGTTGTTATCATTTGCTAAAGTTTGCGTTTTCCTGCTAATTTTATGTTTGGTGTGTAAGTACCCAAAAATAAAATGACAGAAGAGTCAGCTGTCAAAGTCTGTGTTCGAGTCCGTCCGCTTATCGCGAGGTAAGTTTGAAGCCATCAGCCAGTTAGAAGTTAGGAGCTAGCTAAGTTACCTATCGTTAATGCTAATGCTGACTTTTTGAAATGTATTGGTAGCTATTTCGAAAACCAATAACGACTATTTGTTTAAGCAAATAACGTTCGTTAACAAATAAAATGTATTAACTGAACTAACCTTAAGTAAAGCAAGTAACGTTACGTTAACGTTACTGTAGTAGCGGTAACGTTAAGTCTGTTTTCTTCATTTGAATGACTGCTGCAAAAAACCAAATGCTTTGGAGTTTCTAAGTTACCTAGATGTTTATTTTGGATTTACTAACCTAACACGGGGACTCGAGATGGCGCCGTTTAGTCAGAAAGTTAACTCCTAACGTTACATCTATTCATTTAACGTTAGCTGCCTCTTTTATCCAAAGCGACTTACAGTTGCTAACCTTATATGTGTCAGAGGTCACACTCCTCTGGAGATAAGTGTCTGTCTCAGGGACACATTGGTGGAAGTGTCACAGTGGGGAATTGAACCCGGGTCTCTTACCCAAAGGCATGTGTCTTAACCACTTCGCCATCACCACCCCTAACCCTAACCCTAACCCTAACCCTAACCCTAAATGATAACATTCACCCTCAAGTTAAGTTAATAGCTAAATGTCATATTTATAAATGCACATTACCAGTTAAAAATCTCATTCTATTGTACTGAATGGTGAAACAACACACTGACTCCCTTTTATTTGTCGAAACATCCAGAGGCTTGTGAATATAGTTTGTGTACAGTTTTCATAAGCCTCTAATAAAATGTGACAATGCATTTGAAAATCCAGTCCCTAATCTGGGATATTACTGACATAGACTTAGAGTACATAATAATTGGGGATGATGTTGTGGACTACAGGTCAGATGCTTGATTTCTCCACCTAATAACCAAACCATCGCTCATTGTCAGTGATCTTTTAACAATTGATACTCAGAGAGCAACATTAAACTTTAATTATTAAACATCAAACTCTCTTGAAGATGTTGTGGAGAATGTCTGTTAATGTTTCCATACATATATCTTGAATGTGTGTCCTTGTTACAGGGAAGAAAGTACTGCTTCGGAGAATGCAGAGCCTGTCCAGCTGTTTTGGAAAACCGATAAGAAATCAATTCATCAGATCGATGATGGGAATTCCACCAAGAGCTTTAGTTTTGGTCTGTTTTGCAGCATGTACAGGATTAAGAAATGTGTTTACTGGATTTGTTGTTTACTGCATCTACTGTATGTTCATTTTCCTCCTCTGTTGTTCGCAGACCGAGTGTTCACTGCCGCAGAAACAACCAATCACCTGTACCAGGAGATTGCAAAGCCTCTGGTTGTTTCCACTGTTGAGGGATACAATGGTATGTAATTAGAAGCAGAATCCAGCAGGACCTGTCTTGTGGTAACATGTTTTTACATATACTCACTGTAGCTGCATAATGTTTATTTTGGGTATATTTCTATTCTGTGTTTGACCCACAGGAACCATATTTGCTTACGGGCAGACTTCCTCTGGAAAGACTTTCACCATGATGGGGAGTGACCGTATTCCTGGAGTCATACCTCTGGCTGTGGAAGATGTCTTCCAAACCATTAAGACTGTAAGAATTGTATCACATGTTTGAAAAATGCTGCTGTTTGTTGTGTAATCACTGTTTATTCTAAACAAGGACATCCTTTTTGCCCAAAGTGTCCAAAGAAGGAGTTCCTCCTCCGGGTTTCTTACATGGAAATCTACAACGAAACTGTGACTGATCTGCTTGTTGACAGCTGGAAGAGAAAACCCCTGGAAGTTCGAGAGGCAATCAACGTAAGTTAGTCATTTGGGAGCTGATTATGTTTCAATTTAGATCTGTTGTTGGTTGGCTGAGAGGCCAATATTATATTGGGCCTAAGCTCCTTCGTAACCTACTTCACACACCAGGAGCACTGAACGCCTGAAACCCTGAAAATATGTATTTTCCTATTTAGGCTTATGCCAACTGGCGATTGGTTTTTCATGCGCTGATATTATGGTGATTTTAACTAACTCGCTGTCAGACCTAAGATGACATAAAAACAGTCTCTAAAATCTGCACCCCACTGCAGTGTTTCCCTTTCATTGATTTATTTGTGGTGACGCGCCACAATACCAACGCTGACTGCCACATACTATCATAATTGTCAAATCATAATTCATTGTGGAGCTGCATGCAGTGCATAGATTTTTGCTCAGCACTTCTGCTTGCTGTCTCTCACACACAAACACATTGAAACAGGGCCGTCTGTATATAGCCCCTCCTATTTGTGCACACTCAAAACATGATCATGTACTGGAGGAAAGATGGTTGCCAGTGTAACACCAAAATCTAAACCCAAATGATGATGTTTTCCTAAACCTAACCAAACTGTAACCGCTTCACAACGTCAACAAACCCTCTGGCTCTTAACTTCCCATTTGGGTCACAGGATCTGATAGGTCACACATTTTGGTGTCACACCGGCTTTTCCGCGATTCCATAATCAATCTATAGTTGAATGGTCAGTATCATGAACACTGCTCCACAAATGTGTTAACTCTGAGAAGTGAGTCTATCTGTTTTCTTAACACAACGCTGTCAATGTGGAGACCCACCTTCAAATAAGTTATAAGTAAGCATGTAAGGAACCTAGCTAATAAGGATATGTTAACATTAGAATACAGCTGAGTTGTTGAGGTTAGCACGCTGTAACGTTACATAACTGCAAGTCAATATGATTGCTGTGTGCAGAAAAATATCTATGTGGCTGACCTGACGGAGGAACTGGTTACGTCTCCTGCACAAGCCCTGGCCTGGATTCGGAAAGGAGAAAGTAAGATCTGAGGTTATTACTGAACATGAATGATCCCTACACTGTGCACTGCACACTGTGTGTAACAACCAGTGTGTTGTCTTCCTCTGTAGAGAACCGTCACTATGGAAAGACAAAAATGAATCAGCGGAGCAGCCGCTCACACACCATTTTCCGAATGGTAAGCAACACCACAGCATACAGTAGTATGAAGCATTCTGGGGAAACGTGTATTTTTCATGAGTTGGTTTTCCTCAGATCCTGGAAAGCCGCGAAAGGAGCGACCCAGCATCAGGTGAAAATGCTGATGGAGTCATTATTGTGTCTCATTTGGTAAGCACAATCCTTTTGATTATTGGCTTGTTTTCTACTTTCTGTTAACTTTGCTTTCTGTGTTGTTTGTATTATTATTTGTGTTGACACAAGAAAGTTTGCTTCATCTTTTAGAATTTAGTTGATCTAGCTGGATCTGAGAGAGCGAGTCAGACAGGAGCTGAAGGTAAGCTGAAGCTAAGTCCATAGACTGCATGAAATGCATGCTAGGCCTGCTATCATGTTTAAGTTTACTGAGTACATACTACTGCATACAGAGTTTCCAGTAATCCATCTGTTTTGATACCCTAGGCACACGTTTCAAAGAAGGTTGCAATATCAATCGCAGCCTGTTCACACTCGGCCAAGTGATCAAGAAACTGACTGATGAAGGCCAGAAGTAAGTAAACCATGGGCATGCAATACATCCAATAACTGCTGACCAGGTTGTATTCTGTACTACTAGCATATCATTTTCATCAGTCAGTGTTGAAACGAGCTCGGGTCTCACATCTACCGATGTGGCTGCACTTTTGAGAGTTTGTTGAAGTGATGAGCTCTAACAATGTCTCTGGCTCGAGCTAGCATCCTGACTTTGCCGTGTGTGTCCGCCCGCCTCAGTGAAATGCAGAGAGCAGAGCATAGAAGCTGGGTGCTTGTAAATGACACCTAAATGAAAACAAAACAGCAGTAAAGTTTTTGTTTGATTCCTCCCACGTTTACCGCATCGCGGAAATCAGAGGGCCCTTCTCTCAGCCAATTATGTGAGTCTCCAAACTCGTATGGGGTCACGGACAAAATATTTGGCTGTCTAGCTCCATCCTTTAGAGTACATTCATGTTTACATACAGCAAACTGATGAGAGGAAAAAGAAACAAGTTTAAAGGTAGATATTGAAACACCCTCTGTGTAGTTGCTGACATTTGCTAAATATAATTCTGTCTTCAGGGGTTTCACAAACTACAGAGATAGTAAGCTCACCCGCATCCTGCAGAACTCCTTGGGTGGGAATGCTAAAACAGTCATCATCTGCACCATCACTCCTGTCACTGTAGATGAGACCCTCAGCACTCTGCAGGTTGGTTGAAATGTGCAGAGTTCTGTCCTGCACACCGCCTTATACCTCTACTTTCTCATTTGAATATTCAATTGTTAAATTAGTAATACTAAATGGTATGGTATATTTTATACTATTGGTTCCTTTCCCCTGCATATTTATGCAAGATGAAACACTGCAGCTTAGCCGTTAAATGTATGGCTAGAATCTGCTCCAAACATCCAGACTGTGTCTCAATTCGGGTACTTCCTTGAGTATACTAACATGCAGTACACTGCATACACTATGTACTTACTTGAGTGTGTTAATTTTGATAGGGTAGTGTTGTCTCAAATCAAACACTGCTGTTGTGCACTAACCGGAAATGACAATAAAATGAAATTGCAATATTGCGCAATCCGCCAGAAAAGAGACCGCCTGCAGACCTCCAAAATAACAGCCACGCTTTATCACCCAAAATAAATGCTCAGAATCGGGTTTATTGCCAAGTTCAAACTTACAAGTCATTTTCTTTGGTATATTGGTGCATAAATAAGAATTTATAGAAAATAAAAGCAATAGAAAGCAAGTATTGTCTAATCTCTTTTGAAATTATATCGGTATACATTATATACTGATATACCGCCCAGCCCTACTATCCGGGTACTTACAGTGCACTGCATTTTGCCATACTACTTAGTGTGACTGCACTTGTGCACTCAAAATAGGAAGTGTAAATATGGAAGTGAGTGAGTGGAGAAAGTGCAGCTCTATGAGAATTAACATGACCTTTAGAGTGAACATAAGACTGACAAATTAAAGCAGATGATATTTCTTAAAATGTATGTTTATATTAGTTTGCAAGCACTGCAAAGAAAATGAAGAACGACCCCCATGTGACAGAGGTGTCTGATGACGGGGCTCTGCTCAAAAGGTATCGCAATGAAATTGTAGACCTGAAGCGACGACTTCACGAGGCAAGTATTTCTCTTCAGTCATGTTCTGTTTGCCCGATCACTGCAAGTTCCAGTACAGCAGCACTGTCTACCCGCTGACCTGTGAATGACGTCCCTGCAGGTTTCTTCAGTCACACAGACAACAGCCACAGAGAAGGAGGTTCTCTCCCAGCTGCTCCAAGAAAAGGATCAGCTCCAGAGAGAACAAGAGGACCGGATCAGAAACCTGACCCAACTGCTCGTCACCAGCTCAAACTCTGTTTCTTTTCCAAAGGTAAATATGACACCCAATACAGCTGTAGTATGAGTGCAGCTGTCCCTTCATTATTATAGTCATAAAGATTCTTATTCTGTCCTGTTAAGATTCCAAAACGCAGGGTCACATGGGGAGGAAAGATGCACAAACTTGCCCGTCTGTCTGGCTGTGATGGTGCTTCATCTGACCTCAGCTTTGCAGAATCTTTCTCTCGAAAGAGGAAAGCAGATCGCTCCTGTCTGGCGATCCTGGGTGAAGGTAAACAGATGCACATACAATATTTTTGTCATTTGCATTTTGCAAATCATAATTCATCTTATAATTCCCATATGATAATTAGTTTAATGCGAACACTGGATATTTTACCAGATGATGAGGACTTTAACTGGGAGATACCTGATGGGCCATCAGATGAAATGGAGATGAGTCAGAGCTCTGTGACTGTTCGAAGCTTTGAAGAAAGGTGAAATTAAACTCATTTTAATAAAATCTGGGATTGATTTGTGACCATTATATTGGCTACATCTGCTTTTGTGCATGAAAACTAGATGTGTGCACAGTGTGAGGAGTGTTGATGGGTATGTTACTTTTCCCTGTAACTCTGGAGCGGCATTGGTCACATTTCCACTAGTGAGCTAATTTTTCCACTTAGAAGCTGGGCCAAATACCGCATCTCTCCTCCTGGCGTCTCTTATTGCCATTTCCTCATTTTCTAATTCTGTTGCGACTCAAGGAGCAGGATGGGGTTCTTTGTTGTTGTTGTTTTTTTTACGCCTAGAGCCAGACCACCAGCACCCGGTGCATCCTACAAGGCAGCCGACCAGAGTAGTGCTGGCTAAATGCCAGCCTTGTGTAGGGCTCCTCTGTTCATTTAAAGAGTGGTTAAATGATGGTTTGTAGAAAACAGTTGAAAACAAAGCAGTGTACACTGCAGCTGTGAATGACACACAGTGCAGTATAAACAAAAAAGTGTATGAATCTGTCTTAATCTGTAGGTCACCTCAAAGTAAGCCCCTTCATCATCACAGATCCCTAAATGGTGCATTCATGTCTGCAGTTGGTTATGTGTCTTTTCATTGTGTGGCTTAAATTCTGTACTGTTTATTCATATTATATTCTTCAGCTAACTTAAGCTCAAGCCAGAGGCTACTGTAAGTGGAATTAAAACCCTGTACTTGGAGTATTTGTAGGTAGTACACAATATGTTTTATCTTTTTCCAGTCCCAGGGACTTTGTGTCTTCAGAGCGGTTACATGAGCTTTCAGGGAAAGTGTCCAACCTTGAGCTGCAGCTGGAAATGGAGAGTCAACAGAAAGAGGAGGCTATGACAAAGGTAGAAACTTTGGATGGCAGAGTGGCAGAGCTGGAGCTGCAGCTGCAAACAGAAGCTCAGCAGAAGCTGGAGGCCATGGAGAAAATACAGCCAACAGAACAGAGAGCAGCCGAGCTGGAGCTGCAGCTCCAAACAGAAGCTCAGCACAAGCTGGAGGCCATGGAAAAGGTGGAGATGTTGGAGGTCAGAGTGGCAGACCTGGACAGACGGCTGGAAGAACAGAGCTGCACTCAAACTGAAACTGATAAACAGGTGTGCTGTGTTTAATATATCTGCTTACTGAGGATTTCTCCTCTCACTTGGAGGTCAACTGCCATAAAACATGAGAATAGAACATTTGAATACTGTTTGGTTTTGGTCTGGCATGGTAGTGTCTGCTGGTTTGAGTCTAATGTTCATACCTTGTTTTCCAGATGAGAAGAGAGTTTGCAGAGACCATCCAGCTGTGTGAAACTCTTGCTTCAGAGAAGGTAATACTTGATGGATCACCTCTTCTGTAACTTTAACTCAATTCACAACTCGGTATGTTGTTTTTTGCATATGAAAGCATAGCCTGTTAACTTGTTACCGTTTAAAGTGGCAATTATTTTCAGGTTCTGTCTCCCAGATAAAGTAAACCAAACCTTAATCTGGAGTCATTTAGTTGTGGAGAAGCTATCATATTCTACCAGGAAATCTAATCTGTTACTTCCAGACCAGGCTGAATGTATTCCAAACTATGTCTGAGAGAGCCAATTTCTGGTTTTAAGGGCCAAACAAGTGAAACACTGAAAACATCCAGGGATTATTAAATGTTAAGTTATATGGTTGGGATAGTGTTTTTACATTTAGAACCAAATGAGGGTAAGCACTTATTCAAGCTACTAGTGATGAAAGGTAATGTGTTTCAAGTGGAAATGCATACTGTCGTTAAATTGATTGAAATTGTATGTTTATAGGAAATGGTGGCTGCTGAGCGGGACTATCTGAAGCAGGAGCTGGGGATGTTCATAGAGCAGACTAAAAGTCTGGAAAAAGAGAAAGCTACGCTGTCAAAGGAGCTGGAGGAGAAGGGAGAAATGGACGAGTTTAAATCTCTGGAAGAAGAGTTCAGGAAAGAGCACGAGGTAAAGTTATTCCACTCAGTACTTGGATACAAGTACAGCAGAGTCAGATGCATTGGGTTTGGCTTTGTTACTATGTAATATTATTGTAATTTTATTTATGCTGTGTTAATTTTCCTTGTATGGTCTTACAGAACGAGATGCAAAATGAAATCTCTTGCTTGAGGAAGGCCCTTGAATCCTCTGAACTCCAATGCCTGGAGCTTCGGGTAAGATGACTTGAGGAAGATGAGGTTTACAAGGCGTTTGTTTTGTGAGAAACTAAATGAGTCACCAAGAGGCTATGTAGGGGACACTAACCTGCCTGACACACTATCAGTAACTCATGGATCCAAAAACGTTTCAGAGGTGTACAAAAGTGTCCAGCAGGCGTACAATGGCAAAAAAAATGAGGCTTCCCCCTCTCCTTCCATTCACAAAAATAACTGATGGTATCCCTGTTGCTACGGCCCCAACACTATGTGACCCAATTACTGTTAAAAAAAAAATCTTTGTCCTCACTGACTAGAAGTTTAAATTCTTGTTAAAATATTGAAGGTTAGTGAATTTTTAAAATAGACATGTTTATTATTCATGTAATTATAACAGGCCAGACTTTAAGATTGTGGCAGTTTAGTTAAATATTCTTTGTTTTTTGTTTTTTTCCAAGAACAAACTAGAAACTTTGTCTGAGGAGTTGAAGAAGAAAACTGAATTTGCAGAGGATCTTCAGAGTATGGTATGTGTTTTTAATATGGTCTTCTCACTGTAAGAAGCATAAAGGTGCAGCATAAAAACTGTCCATAAAATGACTCTGATGATGCAGATCAGGATTTCCAAAACAGATTGTACAGTATAAGTATAAGTATAATCATTGAATAAAAGAATAACGTCACATTACTACTCTATACAACACTCCATTATACTAAGCTACACCAATCAACTACTTTAAGTGCACATAAACATAAAATAGCATTCTGTACATGATTAGATTAAATATGCTTTGAAAGGTTGAAACTCAGTGTTTGAAGCTTGAACTCCTAATAAAAAAGGTTTTGCCATATTGAAACTAAGTTGACTAGCAACTCTCTCAAAGAACAGTCTAAACTACAAGTGCAAAAGTTTCAAAATAAATTTTTTTTTTAACCAACATTTGCACACTAGTTTTCAAATCACCATTTTCAAGGTTTCAAATTAGAAAACAACAGTGTTCTCTCTTACCCTGAAAATAGAGGGTACAAACACAGGAAATGCTTAAAATTTTTTTTAAATGGTTTGCATTGGAGGTGAACCACTGAAAGTGTGTGAAGTGTAAGTGCTGAAATTGGTTACAGTGATGGAGGCATGTGGCCTCTGTCATTGAGCAGGCTAATTCTGTGATGTTGTCTCCGTGCAGAGTGGTAAGGACTTGGTGCAGGAGGTGGCAAAGCTTCGTCGCTCTCTGGATGATGCTGAGGGGCTCAGCAGAGACACAAAGAAGGACTGGGCTGTCCTGCGCAGTCAGAACATTGCTCTAGAGGAACTGAATGTAAGTGGGAACATACAAACACTTTTTAGTCTGAACATCTACTTGGCAGTTAAAATGTTAGAAGTGGTTTGCCATCTGGCAAGAAATACAGTATTGGGGTTTTTCCTGGCTCAAAATGGGCCTTTGGGGGGTGACTTTGCATGACAGTAAGCGTGATCGATACGTGTACAGTAATGAATGAGTGACCTTATGGCCGAAATCTATGCATTTTCCTATTTCTGATCATTTGATTAACAAAAAATGTCCACAACCTGGAGGAGTAACAAGTATGAATTAGTGTATTAATAAATATGAATGAATATGTTATATTAAATATAAAGCCCGACCGATTTTAACAACAAGACCTTCATGGACTAGAGCAGAAAATATGGATCTGATGCAATGCTACTATACAAGCAATCCCAGTGAGAGAGGTTATAAGCAGAGACTGTGGGATGTATGTATGGATGCTTCAAAACCCATCATCAACACTGACAAAGAAACAACTTCTAGCTCAGTGTTCTAACATCTGCAAACGGCAGCTCCTATCACAACTAGAGATTGACGAAGTACAACAAATATGCTACGGCAAGGGGGAGCCGGGAAGACGGGTCAGCGGGTAGATGTCCTCACAAGGACAGCATAAGGGCGACTGACCTACGATTGAAGATCATAACTAAGTCATAACGACTAAGTACAGCGACCAAGATTGCCAAGGTACAAAGTACCCTCTGAAAGTCTGCTAGAAGATGTGAATGCAGCACTACTATACATTACAATTTTGTTTTTTTTTCTTTTTTTTTTGTTACACGATTTTGCTGACTTTGTGAGATTTTGCTTATTTGTTGAGTTGTCCTTGATTTTTGTGCTTCTACTATGGATAAGTAGGCTACGTAGTTAAATTGTTTCTTTTTTGTCTGTTTTAACTGTGTTTATTGTTGATGTATGATCAGGAGTCCGCAAAGGGTGTTTTTATTTTGAAAATCGACCGGATTCTCTCTGCCATTCTGTATCTGACTTCCTGCCTGGTTCATCTGCTCTGTGCTGCTTGATGCGACTTCTGTCAAAAACAGACTGGCAGTGAATATTGAACATTAGCAAAACTTTAAATTTAATTTAAATTTCCCCAAATCATTCAGCTCTACTTGTCATGATCTTATCTCCAGGTCACTCTGACTGCCAACCATGAGAAGATGGACGCTGAGGTGAAGAGTCTGAGGATTCAACTTGAGACCGAGAAGTCGCGCTACAGAAAGATGCAGAGCGATCTCCAAAAAGAGCTGAATGTTGCATTTGACGAGAACACCAAGCTCACCACTCTGCTCGATGGAAAAGTTCCAAAAAGTAGGTCAGCTAATCAGGTTTTGAGTGCAGACATTTAGTCCGTAAAATCAGTTCTAAGATGTTCTCTTTCTCAAGATCTTATAGACAGTGTGGAACTAGAGAGAACAGTGGCCAACCTGAATAAAGAGCTGACAGCGTCTCGTGAAGCAGAGGGAGCCCTCAGAGCTCAGCTGGAGGAACTGGCTTCATTCCAGACTCTTCCAGATAAGATAGACAGTTTGATGAAGCAGGTGAGTCTTCAAACATCCTATAAGAACAGTGTCCGAGTGAAATGGAGAGCATAATACAGTTATCATGTGATTTTAATTCTGTGTTGTCTCAGGTGTGTGAGTTGACTGAGGAGCTGTGTGCTGTTGAAACTCATAAGGACAGCCTGCTCTCAGCACAAGCTCAATGTCAGGAGGAGGCTCAGCAGCTCAGAGACTCCTTGCAGACCTCCCAAGATGAGATTCTGAAAACCCAAGCAGACCTTAGTGCTGCTGTGCTCAGGGAGAAGGAGCTGAGCCAGCAGTGCGTTGATGTAACACAGCAGCTGGATTCACTTCGCTCAAACTTGGAGCGCTCTGATGTTGAGAAGAGTCAGCTCATGGCTACCATTGAAGAGACGGGCTTGAAAGTAAGTTATGGTATAGAAAATAGGTGCTCTTTGCTCATGATTCAAAGTACACCCTTCATAGATTTAAAATGAATGAATATTTTTATTTTTTGGTAATGTTCTGTCATTAGGAAACTGGTCGGGATTGTTCTTACTTATATTTACTTGCTGATGTTGATGGCTGTAGCTACACTCTCAGCAACTCCCTTAAGCACTTGGTCATGGCGCCATTTATGGCACCCATCTAAATTTTTGCCACCCAAAATGTTCCTGGGGGTCAGTCACTAAGCCAGAGTTCCAATTACATCAATATAAGTGTCTGCCTGGACAAGGTATCAGCAGATAGCCACTATTAAGACTGGAATGGTGGCCAGAAAAACTTGATCGGGACATCCTTAACACAAAGTCACAGTAATGTTTTCATTTTAGCTGGAGGAGAGAGAGCGACAAATGGCAACACTAGAAGAAAAGCTGAATGAGGTGCAGCAGCTGACGAAGGATTTGGAGGAGAAGCTTGCTGACAGTGATGCTTTCAGAACCACAGAGGAGGAGATCAGCAAAGAACTCCAAGAACGAGTATGACATTGATGATCCTGGCTTTTATTAAATTAGATATGACTCACTGGTGACATTGACATTCCTTGACAAGTCAGACGTTTGCTGTATGTCATCTGTTCTCCAGTTATTAGTTATTACGTATGTGCTGGTATTAACTGTAGATCAATTAAGTAGTAATATCATGATTGTAACAAAGTGTTTGTTTTTCTTTTATTGGCATATTTCTAGCTGAATCAGCTGACTGAAGAGCTTCAGCATGTGCAAGCTGAGAAAGACGCTCTCCTTTCTGAGCAGAATGCTGGCGCCCAGAGGTCTGCAGAGGAGATGGAGAATCTGCTGTCGACAGTTACAGCTCTCACTGCAGAGAGAGACCAGCTCAGGACGGACCTGCAGGAAAATGTGGAGATGGTGAATCCCATGTGACTGCTTTGCCAGTCGAGTTTTTAAAATTCATTTATGTCAACTGTGTTGGGCTTCTGCTGTGTTTTTTGTCATACTCTAAAAGGAAAATAATTGTTTTACTAAACAGATGATTGACCATCAGGAGGAGCTAAGGACAGCCCTGGAGAAAAATCGTGTACAGAAGGAGCAGATCAAACAGCTGGAGACTACACAAACATCCAGGAGGGATGTTCCTCCCAGTGAGATGAGTGCACAGCTAGAGGAGCTGCAAACACACGTGAGAGTTTACATAATGAAAACTGTCATAACAAACATGTACTGTTATCCAGGAGCCTGCCATGTTTCTCTGTTCAGAGACTTCATAACTTTATACTCACTACAGACCCACTTCAGGTGGTAACATGAGGCACTGAGGTTTAATACCCAGCCCTAGTTAGCTAGAAGTTAAAATGATCACAATACCAAATGTTGAAATTGTCTGAGGGATTAAATATGTCCTGTGTAATTAAATCCTGATAAGTTTTCACAATTTAACAGACAAGGACTCTAGCTGAGGAGCTGGAGAGTGTGCGAGCAGAGAGAGACAGTCTGCTGTCTGAGAGGACGGCCAACACTCACAGTGAGGAGGTGGAGGAGCTGCTGAGCAGAGTGACGTCTCTCAGTGAGGAGAGAGATCAGCTGCAGGACACCCTGGAGGGACTGAGACAGGAGAAGCAGCAGCTCAGAGCAGAGCTGGAGGACAGGATGGAGATGGTATGTTAACATTGTTTCTTCTAAAGTGTTTTTATATGTCTTGAATCCCAGTCCAGAAAAAGAAAAGAATATGTTCTCTGTTGCAGGTTGCACAAGCCCAAAGTGGGTTCAACCAGCCAGAAAAGCTGACCCCAGAACTGCAAACACAAGATGAGAACATAACCCAACTACAGCAAAAGGTAACTGCAGTGAAGTCAATAGTGTGATGATATTCTATATTTTCCTTATTGTCAACAACCCTCACAGGCAGAGCCAAACCAACAGTGGATATATCTACTAACAAGTCTAATCATAGCCTGATGTCTCTTCTTCCTCGGAGCCACAGAGCTCCACTGTTCACTAGAAACTATTAAACCCAGTGAACATCATTGTTGCACTGGGTGACATGTTCCTTTCACACCACGAACACCCAACACTTTAGTTTGTTCTTTCTCAGGCCCACACACACTGTCCTGCTGCCCCAAACACTCACTAGAGTCTCCAACAAATGCACTATTTCCTCCTGAGAAATGTTTGTATAAAAAACCTAAAACTATAATAAGTGAGCCTTGTTTTTTTGTTTTTTAAATTAAACTATGTGTGCCCTGTTTTAAAATATGTATGTATCCAGTGGGCTTGAGAGCCGCAGACAAAGTAGGGAAGTCAACATTTTTTAGCGATGGACCAACACCTTGCTGTTTTTGGTCTCTTTATAGTATTTGTTGACAGTAAGCAAAAGCTGGATTAGTGTCAGCCATGTCTCAAGCAACTCTGGTGGTTGATACTTGAATTATGTACTGTGGCCATTTTCCACTGCAGATAGAGCAGCTGCAGGCTACTCTGCAGGCCGTCAGTGAGCAGAAGAGCCAGTTGGAAGATGATCTGCAGCGTAATGTGGAGCTGGTGAGTTGAAATAGTTTTTGGTCAAACTGAGATCTGACGTTTTGTGGTTTAAATGTGATCACACTGCCAGGGATGTTGAATAGCTTGTACTCACACATTACTATATATTTTTTCTCTTGTATGGATGAATGGACAATTTGCTACTCTTTCCCTCATTTTCAGGCTACAGAGACTCAAAGCCTTCTACATTCACTTCAACAGCAGCTCCAAGAGCAGAATCAAAGAAACACTGACCTGGAAAGACTAAACCAAGAGAGGCAAGCTCAGCTAGAACAGCAGGTTTGTTTCTTACAACTAGTGTGCGAGATTAAATTGTGACCAGATTTCTCGTCAGGTTAAAAGCTGTCTCCCAATATCGCATTCTATTAAGCCACACAGTAAAGCAAATGTATATCTGATAACATAGACTCTCGGAGCAAATCAACTCCACCCAGCTGATGTGACACCTCTTGCGCGGTGAGTCACAGCCAGTTGTGACAGAGTGGTAACGTAGCTGGTAGAGTCTTGCAATATAAACATCTAAAAACTGAGCAACTGTTCTCTGTTTGGGACTGTGAGCTGCACTTCAGAGGTGCTGAAATTAACGTGTGGATTTGTGTTGAGATTTCTGTGTGATCACTAGTGTTGTCTGTTAGTTTTACATGCAACATGTAGTCCCAAACTGGGTCAGTCAAAACGGTCTGAAGCAGGAAAATACCAGCAGAGCAGTAACATAATGCACGGCAAAGTAAAGGGCAGGTGGACTTCTCATTAATTGATTAAGTTAGTCTCGTAATATTCTGACTTTTTTTCTCAACATGTTTTGAACAGAAAGTTTTGAACATGAGCAGAAAACCTGCTGAAATACAGGAGCTATTAAAGAGGTCATATTATACTTTTTGGCTTTTGCCTTCTCCTTTTATTGAGTTATATACTTTTTTTTTTTTTTATGCATGTAATAGGTTTGCAAAGTGAAAAAGCCCAAAATCCATTGTTTCATTTAAATTCTAAGTGAATTAAAATGAAACAGTTTGTCATTGAGCTGAAAAGTTGCTGCTTGCACATTTAGAGAGGCTACGTCCCCAAAAAAAGAGGGGGAAAGACTAAATCATGCCTGCATGCGTGTTGCCTCAGCAGGGATGATACCACATGAGAAAAGTTGATGTACAGGAGAAACGTATCTGAAAGCAACACAGAATGCCTGGGAGCTGCACTACATTAGATTCCATTATATTTTAAATTGTTTCCCTTTACAAAAAGAGAAATTTTGACCAGAATGCAGAAAATTAAGTGTTTAGTGCTCAAGATTTTCATATAAAAACATTTGAAGTTTTCTTAAAAATGGTGTTAAAGTCTCTCCTCGATCTGGAGAACCCAGTCTTGTGTCTCATCTCATCTTGTGGGTTAAGTGTCTCATCACACCCCTACTTAAAACACCTTTCACTAAAGCTAAATGCATAGTGGCCGTTTCGGAAGTTCTGTAGCCCATTTGATGTTACAAAGTGTTCTTATTTTTAGGTTGCAAAGACTGAGAGTCTTCTTAAGGAGCTCCAAGAGCAGAAGCAAAAGAACTCCGATCATATGAATCTCTGTGAGCAGAAGGAGTCTGACTTGGAGCAACAGGTGAGTTGAAATTTTAATAAAGTGTATTTTGACCACTGATTCTTCATTGTCATTGTTCTGACTCCTAAAAATCTTCCCATTTAAACAGACAAGGACTCTAACCGAGCAGCTTAAGAGTGCACAAGCAGAGAGGGATGCCCTGTTGTTTGAGAAGGAGACCAGCTGTCAGACGTCCACAGAGAAGGTGGAGAAGCTGCTGAGCAGAGTGACGTCTCTCAGTGAGGAGAGAGATCAGCTGCTGGACACACTGGGGGGACTGAGACAGGAGAAGCAGCAGCTCAGAGCAGAGCTGGAGGACAGGATGGAGACGGTAAAAACTTGGACTGGATACTTTAAATTGAGATTCTATCCCAGGCATACTTGCTAAATCTAGCATGTGTAACTGTGTACGCCTGTGTGATCTCAAACTAAAGACTATCATATGTAGTGAAACATAAATAATTTCTCCAATCCACAACAACCGTTCCCACACCAACTGTAGCTAAATGCTAAAGACTGACATGAAAGTTCAGCCATTACATTTGCATCTGAAGTTCTTTCATCCATTTACATGTCATGCTAATGTGCAGTTTACAGTCCAGTAGTGTCATAAAACATTTTTTAGATTTAAGTGAACTGAATCATGGGCAAACTCTTATCAAACAATTCAACATGTGGCTTGACCAGATTTGCAGATATCGATCCTCAGCCACAGCAAAAGGGCCAATTGCAAAGTGCCATTCAACAGAAGATGGCCTTAATGTTAAACCAATAGTCACCAATAATGCTCCCAATCTTCTCAGAAATGAGAGAATCAGATACACACCGTTTATGGTTAATTGACTGCCGTTCTCTTTTTTAAAATCAAACTTTATTCAAGGTGAGAGAGAGATTATTTAAACCTTTAGTACAAACTGAGGTCACATTGTTCTCTCTATTCATATGCAGTATGAGTCACAGCAGCTGCTCAGTTCTGAGCCGTACTCGCTGAAAGAAGAGGAGGAAGCTCAACGACTTCTGCAGGTTAGATCATGTCACTCTTATTCTCATTGTTACACCACAGTTTTTCACAATTGGTCCTTTGTCCCCTAAAAAGACTCTTGAAGCAAGCAAGAAACAACTATGTTTGCATCTCTTTGCTCTGAGCGACATTGCTACTTAACAATTTCCAGTTTATATTGTTGCTCAGGCATTCAGCTGTGTTCTGAAGTGGATAAAGGCCTTGTCAGAAATCAGTAATACTGAAAATATTAAAGTATCCCTCCACGGTGTTGCAGATCCAACAGCTAGAGGAGCATCTGGCGAAAACTAAGGAGGATATGCGGCAGTTGAAGAATGACCTTCAAGAAAATGTAGAACTGGTGAGTTAATTCTTTCTACATTTTGGTTCAGTTACTGCACATTGGCGCTTTAACCAGTGATCAGAGAAAGCATTGACCATCATTTACTTTATGGCCAAAACTGTCCCACCCATATGTGATAGTTGAACATGTGATTCCAAAACCATGAACATTAGGTCAGGGCTCTGTGCAGGCCAGTCAGCGTCTTCCACAGCATTACAGCACTGTTATGGTGCTGGCTTCGTGCTCGGGGACTCTGTCCTGTTAAAACAGGAAAGAACCAAACAAACGGTCGTATAAACACATCAGCGGCCCTGGCACATACATTTGTCTGTATAGTGTAAGATACAATATCATACAATACAATCTTTCAGTTCTTTTTTTCTTGGATCACTAGTAAAGTGTCTAAACATAATGAGCAGGGCTGTATGTACTGATCATTTTCATGAATGATTAATCTGCCAACGACTCAATTATCAAAATAGTTGCTGATTAGTTTTCTTTCTTTTGACATAATAATAGACTAACCCTTGCAGTTGTAGTAATGAGACAGCCCCAGACGTCCCTGGTTGTTGACAGTAGATTGTTGGACTTGTTGTAAACTCCTTTTTAGTGACTCTTCAACTGATCTTCACTTGTACACTCATGTGGTGGTAAAATCTTTCAGATGATCAATAATCAGGAGGAGCTGAGGGTGTCTCAGGAGAAGATCAGAGTTCTACAAGATGAGATCAGCATGCTGAGGAGTCAGAAGGCAGAGCTGGAGGGCAGAGCAACCAATGGGAGTGATGCAAAGAGCACCCTGCAGTTACAAGAGCTCCAAAAACAGGCAGGACTACATTTTTATACATAAAGAATACACAAAATGAGCCGGCTGTCTAATGCTGGCTATCGCTTATTAACAGGGCTGAACGATGAATTGTTTTCAAATTGAAATTGCGTTTTGAAAGAACACGATTAGCTAATCGTGAAGATCGCGATTAAAATGTAGGTTGATTATACAGTGCATCTGACCCGTTTTAAACAGTCATGCAGTTACAGATTCATTCTGTTGTCATCCTTGTGTGACAGATCTACTCGCCAATCACAAGTGCCATACGCCTCCTGTTATGGTCCTATTTACCAATCAGAGTGGGCACAGGGCATGTACATTTTACAACAACAAACGAAACTAGAGGAAGACATGGGGAATTTGCATTTTATGTGCCTTTTTATAAACAAATGTTTTGATAATAATTTTTCATAGTTGCTCTGTAGTTTTATTTACAGACTGAGCAGATTTGTGCTGTTTTCTAACAGTTTGGATTTGCAGCAAATGGTAAACTTTTTCACAGGCATTTTGTATTAATAGACAGATATCGTAATGTATCACTTTAGGACTGTCAAGCGAAATATTGATTATCACAGATTTGCTGTTTCGTGATATTGTCGTGTATCGTGAGGTACCCTGCTATTCCCACCCCTATTTTTAACTGTGTTTATTGTTGATGAGTCTGCACAGGGCGTTTTTATTTTGAAAATTGACCGAATTCTCTCTGCCTTCTGTGTTTGACTTCCTGCCCAGTTCATCCTCTCTGTGGTGCTTGACACGGCTTCCATCAAAAATAGACTGGCAGTGATTATTGAACTTTAGCTAAACTTTTTTTTTTAAACTTTTTTTTTTTTTTTTTTTTTTCCCCCCCCAATTCGTTCAGCCCTACTTCTTAAATAGATCAACAGATTTTAGACAATTTTTTTAAATTATTTTGAATTTTTTGAAAACATTGTTAAGCAGGCTCATTCAAATACAGATATTATATTCACATCAGTCCCAATATCTGACATTACAATGAGGCGTCCATTTGTTCCTGACAGAATCAGGGGCTGACAGAGGAGCTGGAGAGTGTGCGAGCAGAGAGAGACAGTCTGCTGTCTGAGAGGACGGCCAACACTCAAACTCACAGTGAGGAGGTGGAGGAGCTGCTGAGCAGAGTGACGTCTCTCAGTGAGGAGAGAGATCAGCTGCAGGACACACTGGAGGGACTGAGACAGGAGAAGCAGCAGCTCAGAGCAGAGCTGGAGGACAGGATGGAGACTCTTCAGACAGAGGTTAGTGTCAGATAGATTTCCTTTCATTAAATAGTATCCTTTGTCGGGTTACGCCATTTTTTTTTTTGTACACATGATAGCAGTTGTAATAGGATATTTGCATTATAAGCAGTGTAGGTAGGTAGGTTTATTGTCACAATATAACAAGTTGTAGAGTGAAATTGAGTTTGTACCTCCCTTCTGCTACATAGGAGATAATATACATTAATAAAGAATCAATCGTGAAAAATGGTAAACAGAAAAACTATCATCAGTGGAGCAGTGCTGAGGATGAATTAGAGTTTAAGAGTCTGACAGCTTGGGGGGGAAAAGCTGCTCTGCAGTCTGGTGGTGTGGCAGCAGAAACTTCTATATCTCTTCCCAGAAGGCAGCAGGGTGAACAGGCTGTGGCTGGGTGGGGACTGTTCTTTAGTATCCTTTGGGTTCTGCAGATACCTCACCGATATCACTGATTCTCAGGAGATGGTACCAATGATCTGAGCAGTTTTAATCACCCGCTGCAGAGCCCTCCGGTCCTGGGCCGTGCACATCCCATGTTAGTGACGTTTAAAGCCCCAGCTGGAGTTAAGAGATATTTGTATGATCTTTTTAACTGCTCTCTGCCTCACAGTTGGGGATTCTAACTGAGAAACTGGAGATTGTTGAAGCAGAGAGAGGCAGTCTGCTGTCTGAGAGGACGGCCAACACTCACAGTGAGGAGGTGGAGGAGCTGCTGAGCAGAGTGACGTCTCTCAGTGAGGAGAGAGATCAGCTGCAGGACACACTGGAGGGACTGAGACAGGAGAAGCAGCAGCTCAGAGCAGAGCTGGAGGACAGGATGGAGACACTTCAGATGGAGGTTTGTGACAGCACGCACTGCCCCTCTTCCATCTTTCTTCTATTTCTGTTACAGGTCAGTGTTTCCCCTACCATTGTTTTAGGAGAGCAGCCTGTGCCGCTAAAACCCTGCGCCCCCTGAAAGAATTACAAAATATATAATTAGGTTTTATATAAAAAAATAAAACCCTGGACGTGCGAAATAATAAAGCTGTTTTCACAAATGGGCAATTCGCTTCTTGCTTGTCGCCTGAAAAGTTCAATTAATTTGAACTTGTGTTGCACATCATTGTTCTGGTGTTTACCGGCGCTGCTCCTTCCCTCTCTGTGTTTCAGTAGGGGCGGGGCTCCTCGGTCTAGTCACAGACACGGCATCATATCAAAGACGCCGCGCTATCAAGAGCTCACCCCAACAAAAGTGCAGCCACATTGGCAGATGCAAGACAAAAACTCATTGCAGACTTCATGACTGTGTGGTCGGAGTTAGATATTCCATTAGAAAAAAAAATCAAAGTTACGTCTGGTCAAGCTTTGCAAATAAGGAGGCGCACTGCCCACGTGAGAGTAGCCTCCGTCAGACCTACTTCTTACCGTGTGTTCAGCAGCATATGGAGGCTGTCAAGTAATAACCTATTTAATAGGGAACAATTCACAATACATGTACTGCAACAATGTATAAATTGCAAACTGTTCCCTATTAAATGGTAGACTGTTATAGTATTTTGATATCCTACTGTTGTAATACATTCATTGTAAATTGTCCCCATAAATAATTGCACAGACATTTGGATATTTATATATGCATATTTGCATGATGCATCAAATTCATTTATTGATTCAATTTGTCATATTTTCATATTGAAATTTCAATCCTGCACCACATGACTACAGTCTTTCTTATGACAATCTGCTTAAATTGTAAAACACAGAATTCTAAAAAATTTAAACGGCAAACACAGAATTTAAAAAAACAAAACAAAAAAAAACTGAAATCCATTAAAATTTTTGCGAGATTCATAGTGCCCTATCCCAGGTCTGGTCATCCAGTATGTGAATGTAGCATCACTGTAGCAAGCTCCATCAGGAGGTGGTTACTTTAGCAGTAGAAATGTGAAAGAAGAACAGAGAACGTCTATGACAACACCACAGATCTGTAACAAGCCCACTCGGCAACACTTCTACCACCCCCCCTGGTAGAAATCCTAGGGGAAACATTGCAGGTTGTTATGTAGTTGGGTAATTTTGAGACTAGACTAGGTTTGTTAAAATTTATAGCCTACCATACTGTGTTCCTGCTTAGCTCGGAGTACAGTGACACAGCTACAGCAGGAAGAGTTTTAGCATACCATTTATGTACAATAATTGAGTTTTCTTTAAGAACAAAATCATTAAGCAATCGTCCTGCATCCGTAGATATACATTTGGGCTCCAAGCAGTGATAGTGCATTGTGATTAGCCCATCAGTAAGATACGTTTTGCCCCTCTGTTCAAATACACTGATTTCCTGTTTTGCTTAAATTGGTTTCCATGTGCCGTAGAAATCTTCTCTATGTTTTTGCAAGTAACGTGCAGTCAACACACAACACTCTAGCCTTCTGATATTTGGTAATAGCAACGTTACATTTTGCAAGTGAGAAGGCTGATCGAGATGCGTCTTTAATGACTGAATAGGTCTCTATTCTGTACCATGAAAGCCCAAAGCATTATTATTCTACAGAACTGTGAAAGATGAAAGCAATGTGGGGGAAGTGAATGATGTACAGTAAGAAATAACTGGGCAGCGGTGTGTGGTGAATTCATCTGAGCAGCTGATCTGCAGTAAACAAAGCATATCATGTATCTAGTGACAGAGTAGCTTACGAGCCGTTACTGTAACACACCAGGACAAACTGACACTGTTTTATACAAAGAAAGGAATAACATCATGTGTTACATTTGCTGAATTTACAAGAGAGGACAAATAATTAAGAATCTGTCTTAGACGGAGTGTCACAGACTCTCTCAACTATTCACAAAACTTATTTTTTTTATTTTTTTTCTAATTTATTTTTTAAGGGGGTGGGTGGGGGATTTGCCACTACCTCAAATTAACATTTACATTAACATTTTGTTTTAAGGCTTCTAAAACACAAGAGCTTCTGGAGTCAGTCCAAGAAAAGCTGTGTAAACAGAAGCAGATGAACTCTGATCTGGAGGGACGGCATCAGGAGAAGCAACGCACTTTAGATCAACAGGTTAGTGTCTCACACCTTACTTGTTATAAATGGCAACAACTTGCTTTTATGAAACACTTCAGAGCAGGATGATCATTCCAATTGTACCCCTCTCTACAGCTGATAACTCTAGCTGAGGAGCTGGAGAGTGTGCGAGCAGAGAGAGACAGTCTGCTGTCTGAGAGGACGGCCAACACTCAAACTCACAGTGAGGAGGTGGAGAAGCTGCTGAGCAGAGTGACGTCTCTCAGTGAGGAGAGAGATCAGCTGCAGGACACACTGGAGGGACTGAGGCAGGAGGAGCAGCAGCTCAGAGCAGAGCTGGAGGACAGGATGGAGACGGTAAATTTGTTGCAAGTTTCATTGGTAATCCAAGGACCGTAACTTAGGCCTCAAAGCAGACTGCGTTAAAGCATTTCTGTTGTCAGTTAATTTATAAAAAATGACACGTTGTGGGTTTAGGTGGGGTAGGTACCATACTATTACTTGGCTAGGTGCAGTTATCATTTGGAATCTCCACTGGTTGCCTGGCAAACTGGCGATGGTAAACGGACTGTATTTACATACAGTATCTCACTCATAGCTCATACACTCATAGTATCTCAAGATGATCGCTAACAAGGCCTCCTTTCACACATTAAAAAAACATCCAGTGGTGTTTTGGTCTCAGAAATTGTCCCCATGCCTCTCTTAACATTTCTGTCAACTGTGATGCCGGTTCTGATGATGTGTTGCTGTCTCTGTTGCTGTTGTCAGGTGGACCAGCTTGAGAAGGAGCTTCAAATTTGCAGGGCGAGACAAGCTCTCGCTGAAGCTGAAGCTGACTCCTCACAGCAGGTTAGCCAACAGTTCTACTAGTCATCACTTGTTTTCCTGGTCTTTTTGTTTCAGTTATTTATGATCTTCATATAATCAGAAATCAGAATTTGGGAAGTCTTACCAAGTTCAGTAAATACTGAACTAACTTCTGAAGAGTTAGCCTGTGCTGGGACCTGTTGTGAAAAGTAATTATATTATAGAAGAGATTTGGTATACTGAGGCAGCTAGGAAAAACAGAAATTATATTGTGTAGTTCTCTTGTTGCAAGTGAGGACCAGCCTACTTTTTCCTATAGTACACACTGAGGACGATATTTATCTCCTGAGATGTAACACAGGACACAGTGGGAAATGGTATGAAGTTGGAGCGAGCAGCATGAGAATAAAGGATCTGAAGGGCACTGTGCACAGTATTGTAGGCACGTGGGTGTGTAAAGATGGTTATTGTAAGTGAGGTTTTATATTTCTCTCTGTTCAGTTGCTCAGTGAAACAAACACAACGGTCTCAGCACTCAGAGAGCAGCTGAGCAGTTTGGATCACAGCACCAGTGGAGTGAAAGACACTGTGTCATCACGGCTGCAGGACTCTGCTGAGAAGCTTCAGGTGATGTCTCCAGGTCATTTTTATTAACCAGCAGCTGATGGGAAAGACAATCTAACATGAGAGTTCAATATAACTCTGAAACCATTGAACTCGTATCATTGCAGGAGTCCTTCAGAAAATTCCAGCAGTTTGAAGACACTTGTTCCAAGTATCGCTGCACACTCCTGGACAAGGTCCGTACAGTGCGGCCTCCCATGAAGCACTCTTATCTGCCCATTCTACCGAAACCCACCTTGAAAGTCTACAACGCTGTCTCTTACCTGGGACAGCAGACTGTTAATAATCTGGAAAGCATTGTGGTAAATATCAATATTTCTTCCATTTGAAATTTCCTGAAGCTCTTACCCTTTTGACCAGACGATAACCTGAAAACTCCTGCTGTCCCTCTCCAGGAGCACCTACAGATGCGAGCACGGAGCTACAAGATTCTCTTTGAGAAGTTGGTGAAAAAAGATTTGGCTGTTTTTGAGGAGAGGCGTCTGCAGGACGTGCTGCTGTGCAGAGTGCAGGCACCCAGCTACTCTGTCAAAGACGAGGACTTCCACGCGCTGTGGGAACCCAGACTGACTGAGCTGCTGGACAAGAGGCAGCTCTACCTGCAGGTGAGCCCTGCTGCTCTGCCTTTTCAAAAGGTGGTCTTCAGTTCACTCATCCGGATGGCTTTTCAACTATTGTGAAATTAAATGGTCTGTATAAACCCACTAAAGTTGTTTCTCCAGCCTGTGATTGTGCTTCCCTCCTCCTGTATATTTTCATTTTTCAAACATTCCTGTATTGAAGCCTTGTGATGACACTTGCTTTTGTAGCAAATGGCCATCATTTTGGAGAAGCTGTGGGCCAGCATGACGTCTTGCCCCAGTGAGCTGTCAGCTGAGGTCAGAGACAAGGAGAGGTTCACGGAGCAGATGCAGGCCGTGTTCGCCAACCAGCCAACCAGCTTCAGCGAGCTGCACCGCATCCTGAGCTGTGAGCAGGACCACAGATCTACAGTGGCTCACAGCAGGGCTATGACCCTGCAGGTAAGTAAACATGTTTACTATATCACTTAACTTTAAACCAAACCCTAAACCAGAGACACAAGAGCTGTCTGTTTACTACAATTTCACCTGCCACCCAATTGGAATCAAGAATTCTTGGTGACAATGATATCATATTCATTAAGTCATAGTTTTTAGAAGCAGATAGAAAGAAGGAGTGGAAAACTTGAACAGAATTCATTGACACCTGCAGCCTGATTGTCCTCATGGACTGGTATGACTGCTGTTTTCCCCAGTGAATGTATCGCAGTGTTATTGCTTGTCTTTCTAATGTCATTTTATCTACCTGACTCCTGCAGGCCATCTTTGATGAACAGAATGGTCTGTGTAAAGAGGTGATGCTGCTGGACAGTCAGGCTTATTCTCAGCTCAGCTCAGAGAGAAGCAAGAGTTCCACTCTGCTGCAGGCGCTGGAGGGAGCTCCTCTGAAGACAGAACTCTCTCTGCTGAAAGACAACCAGCAACTTGTTCTTCAGCTACAGCAAACTGAAGACAAAGTCAAAGTATGTCCGCCATAAGTCTTTTATATGTGCTCGTGACTGATGTCATCACATAGGGTAGTAACACACGGGGCAGCTGTGGCTCAGGGGGTAGAGTGGGTTGCCCATTAATCGGAAGAGCAGCGGTTCAATCCCCGGCTCCTCCAGGCTGCGTGTCGAAGTGTCCTTGGGCAAGATGCTGATCCCCAAATTGCCCCTGGCGGCTGTTCCACCAGTGTATGAATATGTGTCTGTTTGTTAGTTTCTGTTTGAGCACTTAGGCTCAGTGAATGAATGAAATGAGTTTTTTATTAATCACATTTTGGAAAGTGCATTTTTTCTGTTGGTGATAGGCCAATACATATTTTAAACTCAATGGATTACAAAAATTAGCAGTTAATATTTTTCTTATTGTCAACAGAAACATTTTAGAGGAGACACGCCACTCGGTCACCTCCTCAGTACAACTCTATGGGAAAAGCCTGTAACAGCAAAGATGGCGGTTATCCCGCCCCTCCCGCTAGAAAGCCAATCATCTGCTTTTAACAGCCAAAGCGGGAATCATATTTCAGCCAGTCGTGTGGTTCCACTCACGTAAGGGTCCGTTATTCTTCTAGTGTGTATGCGTGGAAGTGTTAACACATGCGTAGTAGAAGTATAACCGAGAAAAACGCTTTTGAAACCAATATTTTGGGGCAAAGTTGTCAGACTTTTTCAGCGATTTTTATCAGATTTTATTGCCGATTCCACTCATGTAGTTTTTATGTCCCGGTGACCAGCAGAAGTGCAGTTCTAGCGCTCTACCCATTCATTCAGATAGGAGCCTGGTCTTCTTCGTCCGAAGTACATGCCCGCAGCAGTTGCCAAGATGGCAGCCGAGTGGCATGACTTGCCTAGAAGGACTTTGGCTCTGTGGGATGGGATTGGTTGACAACAAACAAACAGTGAATGGATCTGCTAACAAGTCCTGTATGTGTCTCACAGCCTCATGTCTCCTCTTCCTCTGAGCCACAGCTCCACTATTGTCCACAAACTAGTAAACCCATCAGTGAGCCTCACTACTGCACTGGGTGACATGTTCCTTCATCACCATGAACACACACAAGTTTATTCTGACTCAGTCCCACACACACCGTCCTGCTGCCCCAAACACTAACTAGAGCACCACGTGTGAAGTCTCATCTCAAAGTGGCACGACTTGGAAACGTGTGTGTGTGTGTGTGTGTGTGTGCAGATGGTGACAAACATTTTCTGTTTTTCAGGCTCTGTGTGCACAAATTGAGCAGCTGGAGGACGCTCAGATTAAAGCCAACAACACGGTCTCCAACCATAAAGAGGCTATGCAGCTCCTGCAGACAGAGCTGCAGGACAGCCGCGCACAAGTCGAGGACAAGGAAAATACTATCCAAACCCTCAACAGAAGACTGCACCAGTCTGAGGTTTGTCTAAAGGGCTCGTGTTCTGATCTCAGTTTGTTATTGTGGTCTGGTTTTTGTTTGTTTGTTTTTTGGGTAAACCATTTCAGTTTGGGTCCTTAGACTTACACAGAGCAGCTTTTTTAATATTTGTCTTTTTCTGCTTCAGGGAAATTCATCACCCAGTGCTGCTGAGCTGGAAAAACTCCGAGTTAAACTGTTCGAAAAAGACGTGGAGTTGAATTCAGCATCTGCTAAACACAAACAGGAGTAAGAGACTTTGGATGCAGTCTGACCCTTTGTTTTGTTTGTTCTGGTTTTCTCTCATCTCTTGGATGTACCTAATAGCATTTCTGTGGTTGCCTTCTCTTCCCAGTCATGTTAGAAATGATTGATCCATTCAGTAGTATGTTGTACCAGTCCTCCAGAGTTTATTCAGTTTATTCCACGACTGACTGGTCTGACCAGAGCTTTGCCCCCCTCAGGATCCAGAGGATGACCACACTGCTGAATGAAAAGGAAGAGTCACTGAGGAAACTGAAGGAGACCTTGAGGAAATCACAGCAGCAAGGAGAGGAGTCATGTAAGTCAGCAGTGTGTGTATACGTTAGACCTGAACGATTTTGGAAAATAATCTAATTGCGAAAAAAAAAATTATATATAAATTTTATTTTTTTTAAACCAATATTGCGATTTAATATGCGATTAATTTCTTTAAAGTCTTTACCTTCTGTATTGTTCAAAATGGACAAGCAGTAAATCGGTGTATAATATGACCAACACAACATTACATAGATTAAACATACACTGTTCCTTCTTGTAGGCCAGGCCTGTGTTAAAATGAAAGTAGGTGATGCATGAATTATTATGAGCAATGGTGGAGAAGAAATATCAAATTCTAATATGAGAAAGATCATTTGAGAGTCAAGTCATGGCATTAAATAATATGATATATCATCAGGTCGGCCTACAGACCACAAGAAAAACTAACTCACCACAGTGTGTTCTACAGTAAGCGCTCAATACAAAACCCACAGTTCAGTCCATCTCAACAAAAACAGTTTGAGGTTCAATTCAAAAGTTGGCCAACGACAATAAAACCAAGTGACGCCTCTCGTGTTTAATAGACAAGTTTAGTAATTCTCCGACAACACCGGAGTTCCCCCCTCAGATGCTGGTCAGCAGCTGTAACTCGGGACAGACTGCGCCTCTTTCAGACTTGTGAGTTTGGTTTGAAACGCCGTTTCACAGATGTTTCCTGAGCTGACTGGTGGCTGTGTGTGTGACTGTCAAACTTAAGGCCATTGTACAACAAGAAGGCAAGGTACAGCGTAACGTGCAGACGAAGCATCACCTTCGTCTGCAGACTGCTTTCCTCTTGGGTGTCGTGTGCCCAGAGTGCAATCGCAGCCTTTGCTATTAGAAAATCTCGTTTTGTTACATGGCGATAATATAGCAAATGCAATTAATCATTCAGCCCTAGTATACATTGTCTTTTATCTTGGGGAAAATGTAGTTCTACTTGCTTACAGCTGTTAGCTTCGGCTGGCAACACTGAGTTAGATTTTTCTTGAGCCCCAGTTTCAAGAGTTAAATCCTTATAAACACTGGAAGCTGGATCACAATATTAAATGAAACATCTCTATTAGAAATGTTTTTCTCCCATCAAAACTCCAATATCTGAATAAAAGAACTTAAACTGAGTCACACAGCATAATTAAATGAATATAAAAACAAAAGTACTCCTTAGTTTCTTCGTTTGGTGCTAATTACTTAAAGAGGCTGAAGACCTGTAACTCAGCTTTGTAGTTTGTACACTAGAGAATGTGTTCTCTCTTTGGTATGCCTGCAGACCTACTACAAAGCCTCTATAGCAAAGTTACAAAGATAGACTGCTCATTCCCAAACAAATGTTAAACAGCATTTTAACATTTAAGAGATTTCAAAGATGGCACAATGCTGAATAGCAGAAAAAGTCCTAAGTATCAGCAAATCTGTGGCAAAACAGGCCAGCGCTGCTAAAAGAGCTCCCAGTGTAGCCTCACTGTATAACAACTGTATGTTGAGACAACAAGGACTAATGTAATGGAACAGTTATAGTAAAGGAATGAATTCAGCATTTGTAGCTGCTAGCCTGCCGCTAACACTGGGAGCTCTCTGCTCAACGATCGGACAAGACCTAACCGGCCTGTAATTCGTACAGCTAACTGACACTATTGTGTGCACACTACACACCTGCCAGGCTGGTGATGGATGCTGACTTTTTTTTGCCCTTTTGTGGCCAAACGTTGATTAATGCAGCTTTAAAGTGCATTTAAAGAGGATGTGGTCATGTTGAATTCAGTCCTGCAGGGAGAGGACCTTCATGCCAGACTGACCAACCCCAGAGGTTTGATCAAGAGCAGCATTCTGCTGGAGAAGACCAAACTGGAGGAAGAAGTCAAACAGCTTCAGGTTAAAATAAGCCAGCTGGAAAGGTAAGGGCAAGCAGTTTGGGGACAGTTCATGTGATTCAGTCCATCTTCTAGTGCTGCTCTGACATCTGTCCCCCGTCACACCAGCTCGGTGTCCAGTCAGCAGGCAGAGATCAGCAAGTGGAAGAACAGAGCCATCAGGATGAAGGGGAAGAGCACGGCAGAGGTGGACAGGCCTTCATCGCCCTGCACTCCCACTAAAAGGGGCCTTCCCATGGCCTCAGACTCCTCCAACGTCTTCTGCTCACCAAAGAAGTTTCTGGTTACTCCCAAGAAAGTCCTGGACTCTCCCAGGAAGGTTTTGGAGTCTCCCAGGAAGCTGTTGGACTCTCCGAAAAGCAGTTTCTTTGATGTGGGTGGAAGCTCAGAGTTGCTGTCCAGATCCTGTCCCAGGCAGTTCTTTGATAACTCCAGCCTCGGGACCATTCCAGGTAAGCTACATCTAAAGTTCACCTCCCTGTACTGCTGTTTGTCTGGTAGTCTTAACACCATAAAGACCTGAGCTGTTTGTTTTGCCAGAGGTTTCCCAAGTTCCTGATACACCAGATGCAGAGAAGGGTAACTGCTGTAACATCACTGTGTTTGGGCCATCACTGAGGGTGTACTAACAGAAGCATGGGGTGTTGGGACTTCACCAGTCTCCCACTGAGCCTTAAAGCCTGAGTCAGTCGATAAGTCGATATTGACTAGCGGCAGTGTACAGCGTACATGGCTGTCATTTTTAGCTGACTCATTTGTGTCAGCTAAATTTATTAGCCAACTAATTTGTGTGGGCAGCTACAAATAAATCGATGTAGAGTAAACACTGCTGGATGTCAAGATAGATGAACTTATTTAAACAACATGAAACGTTAGGACTACTGGAAAATAGTAGTGACCAATAATTTTTCAAGTCTTTCAGTCAAAACACTAAAATGTTAAGTCATGATTACAGATGGAGCTTGAGAGGGTACACCAAGCTTTCCAGTAGGACCAACTAGCTCAAACTAATGATCCAGCAGTCCTGCAGGAAGTCCTCTGAAGTTCAGTTTGAGCTGAAACTGTTGAGAGATGTGTTGGCTGCTCATTTTGAGGCTGCAGTTTGTGGTGCTTTGAGCTGTTCTGTTACACACTGAGGTGTTTCCAGTGTTTAGTCTACCCGTCATATTAACAGGGGGTACAAAGTACATACAGAAATACAGTACAGGTCGAAATGTCACCAGGTAGGTTAAAATAGTGGGGCTTTCAAACTAAGATGCTCTCTAATGATTTTGATTCAATGAATTTAATCATTTTTATTTAAGACTTTGACTTATTAGAATTTAGCTTGAGGGTTTGCACTCCTTTTTTTTCTTAAGTGGGAAAATGCCCACAATTCATAGTTAAAAAGCGGGAATTGATTAAGATAGTACTGCACCTCCTGTGTATATACTACAAACATAAACTGTGTCCTGTGATGGCATAGTCAACTAGAAGCAACAACAAACACTGACGGGTGACTGAAACACTTTATTACAACCACTACTGTTTGTTACTGGCACATTATTAACAACAAATCTCCTGTGCATCTGTCCAAGACCTTTATGAACATCACAAGACAAAAGATGGAGACCTGTAAGGGTCATTTGATTCTGTTTATGTATATTAATGTGAGTACTGTTAAAGTAAATGTGTTGTGTGTTGCAGATGCAGACAGGAAGGAGGAGTGGTGGCCTAAGTCTCCTAACGGGGAGGAGATGTGTAAAACCCAGTAAAGTGTTCCTCCCGTGAAATCTTTTTAAATGTCTTTTCAATGTTTCTGGCTTTTTATTGTTGTGTAGTGTCTTCTTTGACATTCTGTCTTTCTTACAGTTTGACTAATAAAGTTTGTTGACTCTCTCATTCACATTCAGTCCAGTGACTGTTTCAGGAGCCAAATGGAAATGTTAGGAAGGACCAGCTAAATGTTAGTTTTTGGATACAATTGAGGACTGACATGTGTCAAATCATTGTAAGATGTATTTGATGCTGTTCATGTGAGTCTTTGATTTTTATTTTTTTTAACAGTAATGTAGCTAGGTTTGTTGCTGCCATGAATTACAAATGAATACTGTGGAAGCAAAGTTTAAACATGGTGTTACGAATCAGTTTCCAATAAAACATAATGAGTATCCATAGTTAAGATCACGATTAAGGCCTTTATATTGAGTTGGTGTTAAACCCATATTATCAGTAATTTTCAGCATATTCATATGTTAGTATATTCATATAATATTTTTACTGTTTTGAAATACAGTGTTGGGTGAGTTACTTCCAAAATGTAATACATTATAGATTATTATTTGCTGTCATTTGAGATGAGTTATATTACAGTATTACTGTCTGTGAATTGTAATGCTTTACATTTGCGTTACTGTCACTGCTGTTTAATGGGCGCATTTTTCTGATACCAGCTGTGCTGTATGGGTGGGGGGGTGAAATAGGATAGATCGTCTCCCCATTAAGAGACGCTGTGCTCATTTACGCACGAGGTACAGCAGCATAACGTCATCATGCTGTTTGAATCTCCTGACACTCCGACAGGTTCGGTCAGTATGAACTGACAGCAGCCTATGATCATGAAAGTAATTCGTTAAAGCACAAACAGCCTATAGAAATATATTTACCCATGATCCATTAGGAGAGCTGCCCGGTAGTTTGCACCCCCTACATCTCTACCATCGGATTCCCGCAGCAGGAAATAACGATACTCTTACCCATGGATTTGTTTTTTTCTGGGGCTGAAATGTTTCTGGGTGAATAATTAAAAACACAAAAAACGTTATTTCAGGTTAAAATGCGTGTAATGCACGTTACTGAGATTGTAACCGGTATAATATAACAGATATGGAGTAATGCCTTATATTACGGCAATACAGCAAAAAGGAATACTTTTGTAACGCGTTACTCCCAACACTGGTGAAATATAAAGTGTTCCAGATGTTGCTGTGGCGGGGCAGAGGCCCTGTAGTAAGGGGACAGCCAGGGGAACTCCCTCTCCCCTGCTGCCAAGGTGTCTGGGGTTAAGAACATACTGAGGTCAGCAAAGGGAAGATACCAGGTGTAAAGGCAATGACGTAACCGTCGGCACGAGTGTAGAAAGATGCTCTTGAGTGGTGGGGTGCAGGATAGAGCGCGCACCCGGTTGAGGCATAGACAGTATATTACTAGACGAAGCCACCCCGCTGATTTGAATGGAGAGCAGTGAAGTCGGTTTTGGACCAATAAAATACTACTACAGGGCCACTTCCTGTTGGCACCAGCATCTACTGTGCACGATCGTGCTGCATGACCGTGGTTTAATGACGTAGAGCAACTGCAGAAACAGTAATTCTGATAGCTGCGCCAACAAAAAGTTTCATGGCTCAGTGTGTTTGAGGCAGCTCGTCTCTGTTTAATCAGCCCACCTACAAGGCTCACCTACCAAACACCAACGCAGCGTCACTGATGGCCGAATGTTTTTAGATTGCCAAAAGTTTATCATCTAAGCAATACGGTTATATCTCATGTGCGACGGGCTGTCACAGGGATTTGAAGTCATTTTTGGGCCTACATGGAGCCCTCCATACAGGCTTTGGTTGGCTTCACTGTTCCAACTCTGGCTTACCCCCTTGGGTTGAGTCCGACCCACGGCCCTTTGCTGCATGTCGTCTCCTGCATTTCCTCTTTCAACTGTCCTATCACAGATAATGGGACAAAATATCTTTAAAAAAGTTGAGTGTGTAAATGGCGGGGTCAAATGATTGAAGCCGGTGAACGACCTGAGGGGCTGTACACAAGTCCAGCAAGAAGGAACATATGTAACAGGAACATATATCAAGTTGGTAAGGGCAAAAAGACACATGAAGGGGCGGGGAGAGGTATAAAACCAGGCCGCAGCAACTCCGCTTCAACACAGCTCATTCTCTAACAGAAAACTCAACCAAGACAAATCCCAGGACATTCTGGCAAAAAACCAAGAACCTAAATGGAGACCACATACCAACAACACTCAAATCATCAGACACAATAAGTGACAATAAAGAAAAGGCCACACTTTTCAGCCCTCACGTAGAGACATTATTTATAAACTGTAAACCTTTTTATTCACCGCGGGAGTTTTCCTCGTTTGTTCTGGTCGCTGTTTACATTCCACCTCAGGCCTGTGTTAGAGAGGCGTTACTACACCTGGCCGACCAGATAATTAACGTGGAGAAAAAACATCATGAACAACATTGTTCTTGGGGACTTTAACAAAGCTAACCTCAGTCATGAACTCCCAAAGTACAACCAGGCCAGGAACATGCTGACTCTTTCAGTGGATCACAAACTTTCCTGACTGACAGGAGTCAGCAGGTGAGGTGGGGGTGTGTGCTCTCCCCACTGCTCTTCTCCCTCTACACCAACGACTGCACCTTAGGAGACCCATCTGTCAAACTCCTGAAGTTCGCTGACGACAGAACGGTCATCGGCCTCATCCGGGACGGTGATGAGTCGGCCTACAGACGGGAGCTTGATCAGCTGGCTCTCTGGTGCGGTCAGAACAAACTGGAGCTTAACACGCTCAAAACTGTGGAGATGGCCTTCAGGAGGAGCCCCCCCCCCACTCTGCCCCCCATCACCATACTCAACAGCCCTGTGTCTGCTGTGGAATCCTTCAGGGTTCCACTATATCCCAGGACCTGAAGTGGGAGCCCAACACTGACACCATCATCAAGAAGGCCCAGCAGAGGATGTACTTCCTGCAGCAGCTCAGGAAGTTCAACTTGCCTAAGGAGCTACTGATCCAGTTCTACACAGCCATCATCCAGTCTGTTCTCTGCACCTCCATCACTGTCTGCTTTGGATCTGCCACCAAAAAGGACAGGAGCAGACTACAACGGACAGTCAGGACCGCAGAAAAGATCATCGTGCCAACCTGCCCTCCATTCAGGACTTATACATTTCCAGAGTCAGGAAACGGGCAGGAAACATCACTGCAGATCCATCTCACCCCAGACACAATCTGTTCCAGCTCCTCCCCTCTGGTAGGCGCTACAGAGCACTGTACGCCAAAACCAACAGACTTAGGAACAGTTTCTTCCTACAAGCCATCACTCTGATGAACAGCTGATTTCTGACTCACGATGTCAGGAACAATTCTTGTGCACTAACCCAGTAACTCATTGCACTGTGTACATGTGCACATGTATGCATGTATATCACATCCACCTCCGACATGTACATACTCCTGCATCCTTTGCACTCTGCTCACTGTACTATTTGTCAACATGTCTATATTGTTTTTGTTCATAGTGTGTATATTTGTGTTGTCTACACTGAAGTCTGTGTCTGATTTTATTTTATTTTTATTATTGTTATTTTGTATTTTTGTCTGAGTAAGCACATGGTGAGCAACGTACAATCCTGCGTCAAATTCCTTTTATGTGTACACATACCTGGCAATAAAGCTGATTCTGATTCTGATCTGGAAAAGATTAACTCTTGTCCGACAGACACCCATTTTGACAACGTATGGAAAATTGTGGTTGACCAAGAAATAGCCTAACGCATCACAAAAGAGACAAACAACGGCAACCTGAATACAGAGAACCAACCCCTCACAAAAGTTACCATCCAAGAAATACAACTGCACCTAAAAGAGATGAAAAACAAAGCACCAGGAGAAGATAATGTCGACACCACACTCACAAAACAAGCACCAGCCATCTACTTTCAGCACCTCGGGCTGCTCCTCTCTACCTGCCTCACCACTGGCTATTTCCCTTCACCATGGAAAGTTGCAATTGTCAAAAGATTCACACAGTACCACAAGCTAGCGTCCCATAAGCCTGCTCAGCCACATAGGAAAATTATTTGAAAGAATACTCACTTCACGTCTCCCCAGCCACATAGAATCAATTTTCAGAAAGGGAAGAACCACCACAGGCAACATTCTCCATCTACAGAAACTTCAATAAAAAAGAAACACTCATTCTAAAATGATGGCACAACGGATTCAAATACAGACCACTGGACACCAAACCCAAACTCCCAAAAACCACCCAGTCCATCATTTCAAGCTTTCTCGATAACTGCCAAATCAAAGTTAAAGGTGCTTCCACCATCTCAACTCTGTTCACTCCCCAAGCAGGAGTTCCACAGGGTGTAGTTCTGAGCCCACTTCTATTCCTCATCTACATGTCTGACATCTACTACCCCCCAGCTATCATAGCCACAGTTTCACAGTTTGCAGATGACCTCTGCTACTGGTCCAGCTCCAAATCTCTAAACCAAGCAGCAAAGAAACTTCATACATGCAAAACTGAAATAGAAACCTGGTCAAATATGTGGAGGCTCAAACTGAACCCTGCCAAGACACAGTGCGTCCTCTTCACCAAAAAACAACACCTGTAGCCCAACAATATCAGCCTGTCACTGAACAACCAGAAGATCAATATCAGTAAAGAAGCAACACTCCTCTGTGTAACATTTCAAAACAACATGACCTGGACAAAACAAACCAATAACCTGAAACAAAAAGCAAACCGACTGAACCACCTCAAAGCCCTCTGTGGGAAACATGGCGCAACACCCTCTACAATCATTAAAGTTTACCTGGCATACATAATAATAATAATAATAATAATCTTTATTTGTAGAGCATTTTTAAAAAACAAATTACAAAGTGCTTTAACAAGTGTAAAGACAATAATACCCAAGAGACAATAATACAAAAACAATACAAGATAAAAGCATGAAACATTGAAAAGACTAAAATACACGTTTAAGATAAATATAAAATTAGTAAGAGAATAAAATAAAAGGGATAAAATAAAGTCAAATAAGATCGGGAAAGGCTCTCCTATAAAAGTATGTTTTAAGAAGGGACTTAAAAGAGTTCACTGA